CTTACAGTTATCTGTTCAACATATAATCATTATAATGAAGACATGACAGGAACTGTAACATCTAAATAAATCAATTTCTATTGCTTTTCAAAAGCTATACAACCTATAGTGCATGCACTAAATACACTCACAAAACAAAAAGTGTAGAACACATTTATATATCATGTTTATCACTTCACGATTTCAAACTATAAATAAATCTTAGCAAAAGTGCCACTTTAGTCAGGCTTTAATTAACATTTAATTATTTTTAGTGTAAAGGTTTGATTCCCAAACAAATACAATAACTTAAAATTTATAGCTTTTACTATTTTATTTAGCTAATTTTAAAATGCAAATACTATCCAGTGTTACTAAACACACAATAATTAAATACTTCAATCATAGATGCCATACTTTATAGGCTGTTGCTTAAGTTACATTTGACATAATCCTGATACTATTACATATAATTGGACTGTAAGATGCACTTTAAGAAGATGAAAAAAAACATGGTGTTGTGCCATGTTTTACTTACATTATTTAACAGGTAATAAAAGTTGTACACTGAAAATGTTTTAAACCCTCAGGATTGACTTACTATGAAAAGACGATTCATCAGGACTAAACAAATTCAATGATTAGGGATTTACTTGTGATACTAACTAAACTGGTGAAAACTTCGATATAGACATTTGAAAATCTTGTATACTTACATCTGATGAATTAGATATTAATTCTCTCAGAAAAATTTCTTTGTTTGAATAGAAGGTATTTATAATCAAGCTCATAAGTTGAGCTATCTCAGCCTGGAAGGCAAAGGTTTCAACTTCTGAATTATTGTCAACATCCATGTTTGCTTCTGGTGTGGTCCTGAAAAAATATAAATCATGGGCATTACTTCTAAGTATGATTAAATTCCTTTTAAGTACAATAATTTCTAATTTGTCCAATAATGTTGATACTTCATGGTCTAAATACCAAAATAATTCAACCACATACTGAAAGATCAAAAAAATAAGTTTAATGTATAAACCAAAAAAATTCCATTATATTTAGTTTGCAGAATTACTGTTCTTAAAGTAACATACAAATTACAAGTAATATTAGCTGATCACATGTAATCCAGTTGGCACTAAGAAGATTTCTTTGATAACCTAATGACAAATACTGCAATGGTATATCTCTAGTAGTAGAAGTAGTAGGGCTGGGGAGTAATTATCAGCCTCTACTAAGTTATTGTTATGGTTTGATTGGTTGGCTTTAAAATATGATTCTGTATCAAAAAAAAGGGTAAATGTTTGCACCACCATTCATATAAACTTATAAGTTCATTCGTTTAACTTTAAATGCATCTTATACAGCCTATTTCAAGAGTGAAAGTAATAATAAAATGAAAACTTACAATTTGTTTAATTAATGTTACTGTGGCATAGTGTAATATACAAATATAATTTAACGCACTTAAAAGTTTAGATTACGTGATTAATTTTACATATTATTAGCCTCATGTTTAGTAGCGAGTTACGTTAGTACTATTAATAGTAGTAAATATTATTTTTACTAAACATGGGCACACGCAAGAGGTGGCAAGAAAGGGATTTTGCCCCCCTTACATTTCACCAAAAAATTGCACGTATCATGATATAAAGTTAACATCTTAGTTAAAACTTAAACTAAATATTTTTAGTTAAGCACACATAACACATACTCTTTTAGTCTGTTGACTAACAACTAACACAGTAAAAGTTGATATCCTACATACATGTTTTGCCCCTTCCCGCTCCGAAAATATTTCTGTAGGAGCTCATGCTACGAAGTACTATTAATCACCTTGGTTACTGTTAGTCTAATGTTCTTTGTCACTACTAATGTTACTATTCTTAGCAATACAAATAGTAATATTATACTTTATACTTATATTAATATTACTAATAGTAATGGCGTTAACCAGTACTAATTCGTAACGTAGGTTAAGAACTCGTTATTTATAAATTATATATGTAGCATGCTTTACACTTATTTTTATATAATATTGGGCGATATTTTTTCAAGTTTTATCTTTTTCTTTTTTTTACTCTAATTTTACACCAGCTTCCCAAGTTATTGTTACTGTTAGTCTACAAATAGCTATTACTATAAGTTATAGTTATACACTTTTCATGGCTAGAATAGTAGAAACAATTCGGTTAACAAACAAGTCAGATAATAAGATACACTCGTTAGTACGTTGTTCATTAGTGACTTACTATGATAACAAAATTATCGGATTATTAATATTATTAGTAAATGATCCTTGAGGACAGCTAAAAATCGACTTTTATTTAAAATGGTTACATAAAAGATTTCTTACATAACCTACCTTGAATATATAACTGCAATATATAACAAATTATACAATACTAAAATCCTTTAGTATTCACACTATACACCCTAAACTTCTCGTCTGGAAACTCAATGCACGTTTCCATTGTCTCCACGTTTATATATCCACTGCCGAACTTTCGAGTACTTGCTAAACTACCGGTATCAGTGTTACGCATTTCCGTTACTTTCAATTATTATTATTAAAATGTTTGAGAATATAATTACTAACGTTTTACTTATGTGTAAAAATTTCTCAAATTAGCTACAATATTCAAAAATTGGTTATAAATTAACTTAATAATTTATTTTTATAGTTGGATGTTAGAACTATTTTCAGGAAGAAGAATATCAACAGAGTACGTAGGCGAATTTCGCGAACAGTCTAGAATATTCTAGCAGGCTAGCGGCGTCAAATATTTTCAGTAGATTCCGATAAAGGTGTGGGCAGGCCATGCTGTATTTCTACAATATCCTGCGGTAAAACTATACCCACAGCGGAACCGTGTTAGAGAAAACAGAAAAGCATTTCACAGAGTAAACATTAAACTTTACAGTCACAAACAAGAAAACTTGTTGTTTTTTTTTATTTATGTCTGCAGATATACATGCTGTAAACGAAAAAGAAACGACGGTAATTTATATATAAAAATAAAACTTTAATAACTATGATGTTAAGGGAAAGGAATCTATTAATAATTCGCCCAGAAATATGGGATGCGTCGTGGATTCTACAGAAACTTATTAAAACCAGAAGATTTGTAGAACCTTTACGTAACTTATGCTAAGGGACACACTTCAGTAAAGGTTCCTTAACACAAGTAAGAGGAAATAAGTCTGAAGATGTTAACACTTATATTCTTTCTTCCTCATTTTGGGTTATATCCTAACTAACGTTTATAATGGTGAAATACTTATACAATCTCTGCATGCCAAGGAAAAGTAATATTGTTGAAGGCTATATTTTTAACATTTCAATTTTGATGTTTTGCTCAGTAGAATGAGACTTAAGAAGATTGTTTGGCATCTCGAATATTCATTAAATAGTGTACAATATAAAAACAACGTTTGTTGGGGTGGAGTGAGGGGTAGAATATTACTGGTAGAGTGGGAGCATGAGTGTACTACGTACTAACCACTAGATATGATCACAATTTTATGAAAGGTTTTACTCTGAAATATGTGGGCATTTTCAGATGTAAACTTTAACCAACTCTTAACATAAATGTTCATATATGTTTCCAAATATTACGATAAATCAGTACATATATATCCAGAAGGTATTAATAAATAGTTAGGTATAAAAACACCAGAGTGAATCAGTTCACAGTCATTTAAAAAGATTTAGTTAGAAAAGGTGAGTTAGTTTGATCGTCAGTAATTCGCTTAGTAGTATCGTAAGCTACATATTTATATTGTTACGTCTCCGTGTGTTAATTAATTTTC